CAAAATAAAAAAAAAAAAAATAATAATAAAAAAATAATAATAATAATAAATATAAGCAAAAAAAAAAAAAAAAACGGCATTATTAATCATCTCCTTCATTCATGTTAATTTCTTCTTCTTTTCTATACAACAAATCTTAAATTTTTTGAATGATTAAAAATATGGGGCAATTTTTTCTTCTCGGATGATACGGTCGAATATTCTCATCATCGATGTCGTCATATTATTATATATAACGTTGCCGCCATGTTTCAAAAGGTAAATTTTCGATATTCAATCAATCAATCAAATCACAAAAATAAATTTTTAACACATTTTCCATTGTTTCTTGTCCATATGAAATATAATGGGAACTATTTCTCACGCACTTAATTTATTATTATTCACTTTTTTTTTAAATATCATATTTATATTAAAATCAATATTGAATATATATATATATATATATATATATATAATATTCAATATTTAAAAACCATGGGGAGACACTGAATGTAAAAAAATTGTATAATATATAAATCAGTCAGTGTGATTGCATAATTCGTACTTGAATTATCGATTTTAAAAATTTAAATTTAAATTTAAAAAAAATTTTCGTTCATTAAAAAAAAAAAATTTAATTAAAATTTTGGCCATTCCGTGACCAATTCCAAAAAAAATTTCTTATACTTTTTTTTTTTTAAATACAATCAACCAACTTTTAATATTAATACAATATTTCAAATTCAACGCTCACCATGAACACATTTTCAATGTGATTTTAAATAAATAATTATTAATTTTTAATTTTTATGTAAATAATACAAATCAATTTTGAATTATTTATGTAAATAAAAACTTCACAATTTTATATATATAAATATAAATACACAGACACACACACACACACACACACATTTGACACAGTAGATTATTTTTTTTTTTTTTTTTAAATTTAAAGGATTTTGGAAAAGCATAATAAATCCATGCACAGGTAAAAATGTTTATAAAAAAAAAAAAAAAAAAAAAAAATGAAAGGAATTGGGGTTTTACAATTATTTTTCATTTTATCAATTTTTTTTGTTTATTTTTATTTCACTTATCACACAGTCATGATATTATTATTATCATTATTGCAAATAAATTAGGTTAAAAAAAAAAAAAAAAAAAAAAAACTTAAATTTAACATGTACAAAATGGTAATAAAAAGATTACCAAAAAAAATTTAAATTTAAATTTTTTTTTTCTTTTTCTTTTTTTTTTTTTCAATTGCCTTTATATATAAATATTTTCATTTAAATACTAATTAACTTATATCTAATAAATAATTTTTTGTTTTTAAATATGGTTGTACATTTTTTTTTTTGTATCACAGACCGTTTATTACAATAAAGAACACACAAACAACAATAATATCAACGAATCAACGTTTCGACATAAATCAAAATGAATTTCTCCCTTGATAATAATTATGTGAAAATGAATTACTGCAGTTGAAAAAAACAATTTTGAAATTTAAAGGTAAAAGGTTGCTCCTTTGAATTATTTTCAAATTTGTTAATTTGCAAAGTTAAAAAACTAAAGAATTAACCTTTGTTTCCCCCCCCCCCTCTCTCTCTCTTTCTCTTTCTCTTTTTTTTTTGTAAGAATTTTGTTAGTGATTAATGAAAATTAAAATTTTTTTTTTTGTTAGTGTTTTGTAAATTGTTTAAAACTGGATTAATTAAAAATAATAATAATAATAAACTTAAAAATTAAAAGGAGGCTTTTTGTTTTGTTTTTTTTTTTTTTTTTTTGATTGCAATTGTCGAAACGTAGAATTTATCTTCGAGATATCTTTATACAACAATTTTTTTTTTTTTTGACATTTCCTTCAACTTTTTTTTTTTTTTTAAATACTCGCTCGAATAAAATAAATTAAGTAACAATAAATACCTGATATTAACTTCTTACTTTCAATTATGTTGGATTTCTCTTCGTCAAATAACAGCCGAGGCTGTTTTTCGGCAGGTCCGCCATTACGAAAATCTACGTCACCCGTCACTTCTTTCGAAGGAGGAGAACTTGAATATTGCTCCCGATTTCTCCTTACGTAATTTCTTCCCTTTGAAACCCCTTTTATATCTTTAAAACCAGTTATTTCGTTTTTTCTCTCTTTCTCTTCATCGCTGACTTCGTCAAAATCCAATTCTTCTTTTCTTTCATTGTGAGACGAGTCTTGTGGTCCGCTTATAATGGGCGGAGGTGGAGGCTCCGGCGAGGGACTAGATTCAATCAGTTCTAAATCTAACGACACTAATTTACCAGATTGTTGAACATTTTCCGGTAAACTTTTATTTGTCTTTTCGCGAAGTTTCACTTTACTCTTATTTGATTTACCATCCGATTTCTTATAATCACTATTACATTCGTTTTTGGATGAAATTTTCGACGTGTCCAATAATGATCTTTGACGTTGAGAATCTTTCATTGTCGTTTTTGATGTTTTAGAAGACGAGCTTTTCGAACTCTTGCTCGGCGAGCTTTTAAATTCTTTGGTGGACGATGTTTTAGACTTGTTTTTGAATTCTTTGGCAGACACCGTTTTGGATTTGTTTTTGGAATTTTCCGAATTTCTAACAGAGCCTTCTCTACCCTTCTTATTTTTCGAATCTATTCTGCTTTTATCCGAATTATTTTGTACATTAAATGTTATATGACTTTTTGTGACATTGGAGTCACTTAATACTTTCTGAGCAGGAACGACCGGCGACACTTGCTCTACGACGGGAGTTTTTAACATGGCTAATTGCCTATTATATATTTCTTGCTCCTTATCGGTTACTTCCGACGAAACCTAAACAATACACAATTTTGTTTTTTTTTTTTTTTTATTATTATTTAAAAACTTATTATTTTGTGGCTACTAAAGATATAAAAATTCTTACTTTGCTTTGTTGTTGTTGTTGTTTGGCTATACGAGGATCCCTAGATTTGGCTGCTTTTATAAGCTGTGTATTAGCAGGAGCAATTTTGGTTTTGTTTTGAGTAGTGGTTGGAGCACCCTTAAAAATAATTTAATTTAAACACCAAAGTAAAAGTTTAAAAAACTATAAAACATGGTAAGTTTACTTACGAATTTAGTCGACGAGGCAGAAGGAGGCATAACAACAGCTTTTGGTTTTAATGCAGCTCTTTGAGAAAACAATTTTGCAGCTTCTTCATTCAAAGGCGGCCGTATTAAATTATTAAGCATCTAAGAGACAAACAAACATATTTTAATATTTAAATAAATATAAGATTTAAAATTTTTTTTTTTTTTTTGGGGGTAATAAAATGATCAGCTTACAGTATGACTACTATTATTGGAATCTCCGATTGGATTTTCTTGACCTTCAATTATTGCTTTTGTTTGCATTAATTGCAATTCAAGTTTTTTCTGTTGAAGCTCAATTAAAATTTGCTGCTTTTTAAGAAGTTGCTCTCTCAAAACTGTCTCCGGTAAGTCCGTACTTGATGTTGTCGTGACCGCTCCGGTCGTGGGTGTTGAACTTTGAGGGGGTGTAACAGTAGCAGAAGAGGTTTCGGCTACGGTAGTTTTATTTCCCTATAATTTTTTTTTTTTTTTTAAATTCATTTAAAAAGTTACAATTCATTTTATATTCACGTTGATAATTATTTTTATATTAAAAAAAAAAAAAAAAAAAATTTTTAAGTGTTTTCTTACTAAAAATTTTGGATTAAAATGTATGCTCGTAGGGGTAGGTGCAGTAACTGGCCAAGCATGATCAATATCTTTTACTCGAAGATCCAGTACGTAAAGTTTCCTCGCTGGAAACACATCGGCCCATGTTTGTCTTAATTTATACATATTAAGTCTTGTTCTTTCATCAACCTGAAATTATTTAAAGTATTAATATATTTTTTTTTTTTTCTCACAAATTATTAAATTTGTATACATTTAACAATTAATATAAAAATTAAACAATTTTACCTTTTCAAAAACAGATACGAAAACATTGACGATATTTTGAGTGAAGAGAGGCACATAAACTTTTGATACATTCTTGATAATTGAATCTATCAAGTATAGAATAGGGAGTTTAACTTCAGGTGGTACCTGTAGAAAAAACACTATTTGTTCAATTCACAGGAACTCTTAACAATTTTTTTTTTTTTTTCACTTATTTACAGTTATCTTGAAATTCGATTATAATTTTATTAATTCCAATCTTGATTTATAACCCAATTTTTTTAAATTGAATAAAAATTAATTAAACCGCAAAAAAAAAAAAAAAAAAAAAACAAACGAAAATAAAAAAATTGTTGATAATTTTTTTTTTTTTTTTAAATGCCTTAAAAATGAAATAAAAATTTTAAAAAAAAAAAAAAAAAAAAAACACACAATACTAATTTTATTATCAAACAAATTTTGCATACAAAATAAATTTTTTGTATAACATTTTTTTCTTTTTTTTTTTTATTAAAAAAAAAAATTTAAATGTATGCTCATAAAACAATTATTCGTTGACAGGTTACCATCAGAAAAAAATAATTCAATTTGAATTATAATATTAATTAAAAATAAAATTTCACCGCATGAAATGTTTATTTAAATAGATTTAAGTACTGACAAATATGATGTTTAACTAAATAAATTTAATGTAAAATTTTTTTTTTTTTAAAAACGATTTAAAAAAAAAAAAAAAAAAAAAAAAAAATTAAAAAGAAAGTATATGCCAAGTGCACCACCACAAACTTGAAAAACAAATAAAACAAAAAAAAATGATTTATAATATTATTCATGAATTATTAACTTAATAAAATTATCTAAATGGGTATTTAATAATTCATTCAAATACAATTTTTTTATAAAAAATTTTTTATTTTATATATATATATATTAAAAATAATTGAAATTTAAATGCCTTTGTTGTGATAGATAAATTACGGCGTACAATATAATTACAATTTGTATGTTTTTATATCAAATATAAAAAATTTGATAAAAGTATAATAAATAAACTTTAACACCATCATTTTTGATTTTTTCTTAAAGTAATATTCGTAAAAATATTAAATACTTAACTTTTATTTTGTAAATATTGAAAAAAAAAAAAAAACAAGAATAACAAAATGCTTTAATTTATTACAACTATACTTTTCTTAAAATTAATTTTTTTTTTTTTTTTTTTTTTTTTAAATCTTTTTTACAGACAGACTTTTTATCTATCTGATAGAGCCAGAATTTTACGAATCAAGATTCATTAACTGCAAAAAAAAAATAAACTCGAGTTTTTAGTAGTATATTTGAAAAAAGAAAAAAAAAGTGTGTTTACTCAATCACATTTATCAGCAGTTTAAAGGAAGTAAAAATATTTTTGAAAAATAATTTTGAAAAAAAATTTTTTTTAATGGGAATTAAATTATTTTTTTTAAAGAAAGAAAGAAAGAAAGAAAAAAAAAAAACAATTTTTTTTTTTTTTTTAATGTTTCAAATCGATTTAATCCTAATATACCATAATTATAACAGCTCAAGGTAAATTATATGACCTTTTCAAGATGATTCTCAATCACTTGGACAATGGCTGGAGCATGATCCACATTTTCATCAGCTAACATTGTCAACATGTTAATCAAAGGTTTGCTGTTCACCGTTAGATCAGCTAATGACGAAAGATATTCCTCAGCCACTTCTTTAGACATATTGGCAGCTAAAAAAATAATTGAAAAATGCCTTTTAAAAATATTTCAATGGCAATAAATTTAAAACTGGGGGAATTTGAAATCGTAAAAATGAAAATACTTGAAAAATACATTTTTACATCAAAAAATAAAACTATATGTATATTATAGCCAGTTAATATTAACAGTAAATTTAAAAAAAAAACATATGGCTTTGTTAAAAAAAAAATCCGTTAATTTTCAAAATGTACAATTATTCTATGTAAAATAACAAATTTCAACTTTAATTATACAAGTCTAAATGTAAAAATTCTTTAATTATGAAATTTTTATAAAAATTTCAGTAAAAAAATTAATAATAATAAATATATTATACATGATGCAAGAAATACTCAAGGTCAGGCTAAAACATTACAAAAATGCCTCGATTGAAAAAAAAAAATTTAATGAGGGCAAAGTTTAAATTAACCCAAATATTAACAAAAAAAAAAACAAAAAACAAAATAAACGATCGCATTTTAATAAATAAATATATGTAAATAATTTAAATAAATATGAATAACTGAGAAAAAAAAGTAGGTGAAAGTTTGATCGAGTATTTTTGCAGCATTTCTATTACGAAAAATATACGCCGAAAAGCTATATTCGTATCGATTACTCATTAAAAAATTCAAACTATTAAAAAATACTTAATAGTAATAATAATTACCGTTAAATAATCCTTAGTTAAATAATATTATTTTTTTCACCTAATATCAACTTTATACCACCAAAACTGAAACATTTTTTTTTACAGATATCAAAGCATAAGTGTCATGGCGACGAGCAATAAGAAAATCGTATTCCGGAAACAGAAACAGACTTGCCATACTAAGTTTCGTCCAATCAGATCGCTAGATTTTTGAATTTTAAAATCGTTTAAAATTATTTGATTGGCTGATTTCTTTTAATCCTTGAATATATTTATTTTATTTGTTTCAACGACCTCAATTCAGTGACTTTTTATATAATTTATACAGGTAGTCAAATAAAATATTGTAAAATTTTATCAAATATAACTTTTAAAAAAATTTACTGTAATAAAAAACAATTTTTTTTTAAAGTTACACTCAACCATTTTAATATATATGTGTATTGTCGTAAACTTACAAGCCAATGAGTAAAAATAAAATAAAATATTTAATTTATCGATTTCATCACTGATATTAAATTATTAAAATTTACCATTAAACTAATTTAAATGAACCATTAATTTTTTTAAACGAAATAAATCATTTTAAGAAAAAAAATTATTCGAGTAGTAAGAAAATTACTGTATTTTTTAAAACGATTCATGTCTGACTCATCTCCATTACATTTTACATGCATTCTGTACTCGATTTATTAAATATCCCAAAAAAAAAAAAAAATTTTTTTCTTGTAATTTTTTACCACCAGCCTTGATAAAAACACGTAAAAAACTTATTAATAATATACCCAGTAATAAATAAACTCTATTTTATTTATAATTTTTCATAAATTCCATAAATTAGTATATTTTCAATTCATACAAATATAATTACTATTGAAAACATATATGTAACAAACATGACGTCACGGGTAACTGCCAAATGGCGGTTTTTTGTTGTTGTTAATACTTATCTTATCTGTCATTAGATTAACGTTCTTTAAATTTGAAAATATTAAATATATTAATTATGTATATGTCTAAAGTTGATTTATTATTAATTATCCTTCATCTTTTGATTTTTCCGTTTAAAAACTTACAGAACATACACATATATGTATAAATTTAATTAACGTGAAAAACATCAAAAAGTAATTATTATTATTATTATTACTTTATATAAACATGGCGTCTGATAAAGGAATCATTTCTAAAAAAAAAAAATATTTATTATGAGTAGGTAGGAATTATTGTAAAAGGATTAAAACTAAATAAAACTTACAAAAGAATATGAAATTCTTTATT